AATTTTAATACCTGAACACACTGCTGCTGTTAAATAATTTCCCAATTTGGGATTGATAAAGTGTCTGTCTATTTATTTTATAGATTAAAAAAACATTTCGGAGATCCTTTCCGGAATAGCTTTTCAAAATAAACTTTAACCACAGGCGTAAACTAACTGGAAGTATTTTCACAATAAAACAGTTATAAAAGTACTGGTGTTTAATCTATCTTATATCATCAAATATTGATTTTAATTTCTAACAGTAACAAAAACAGTAACACTATATGATAAGAAAGAGGCAACAAAGAAAGTGTTTTTCCTTGTTCATGTCCATANGCTGTGAAGTGGTTTGCGGTGTGAACGCGATCGGCTCTTAGTTCCATAGGGGAACTAAGTGCTGGGAACTAAGTACGGCAAAGTACTTGGTGTGAACGCGGCTATTGAATGGGTATGACAAAGAATCTCTTAACCTGTTAAGCTCCGAGCCTGTTTTTCAGGCCTCAGGCTCAAAAATGACATTCCCAGAACAAATGACTAACTTCACTTCTAAAAGGGGTAAATGAATAATCTTTTTTCTCAAAGCAATGATAAACCTGTGAGTTGGATGTAGAAAAGTCAGAATCAATATAGATGTTTATAATTTAAAGTAAATTAAGATTGAACATATTAAAAAAAATTAAATTATAGTGTCCGTTAGAGCTGCTCAATTAATCGTATTTTAATCGCAATTACGATTTTGGCTCGCAACGATTATGAAAACAACATAATAGAAAAATAAAACAATTATTATTTTTTTCAGTTGAATTATACTTAAAATTCAGGGTAATCAACTGTTAAAAACATACTGTTCACATTCTTTTTTTCAATAAATGGATGTTTTCAAAGTAAATGAATAATCGTTTTTAATAATCGTGATATCAATTATTGACCCAAATAATCGAGATTATGATTTTTGCCATAATCGAGCAGCCCTAGTTTCCGTCCAAAAAAAACCCATTACTGATAGTGAAAACCACCCTTGAATGATGGGATAGTAGACTAAAAGCTTTAGGAATCCAANCTTAATTACATGTGTTTTTCAATTGCGGCAATTTTTTTAATTGCGTCAAAATTAGCGTGACAATAAAAACGTCGGCGCCTTCGCAAAGAAGTGACCTACTCAAGCTCCCCGCCCGCCTCGGCCTACATATGACGTCGGTGGTTGACTGTGCGGCAGTCACTGGGAGTTCTTGTTGTTGCTTTGCGTGTCACTTCTGTTTATCAGTTGTACTCCCTGTGTTCGACCTACTCTGGCGCAAACCAACCGGGGCCAACCTACCCTGTAAAACAAATTTTTCTGCCTGCCTACCTTCGTAGCTATTCTCCGTGCCAACAACCGTTCTAATACGGTTTTTTCCTTAAACGCATAAGTGGCGTCGTGTAGTTCGGGGTTCGATGTGGGCTTACGTTTTGGACTATCGCGTCCGCACTCGCAACGCGTTAAAGTCCCGGCCCTAATTATCAGTAATCATTTCAAAGTGACACAGACAAATTGGATTAACCTTCAGCAGCATTTTTATCGTTTTAATACAATGGAACACAACTTTTGATCAGAAAACAGCAAAGGCAAGACGTTTTGGCTCCGTAAACCTACTTTGTGTGTTGTCTGGGTTTGCCTTGGCGATGTGATGATACTTATACCTCTGGAATCTGTGGAATCTCAGCTTTAATTTGATATATTGTTTGTGCAGACCGATAAGTAATAAAATATCTCTACCTTGAGTTCTGTGCTAAGTGCGTTAGCATTTTTTCGCTCAGTGCTAATTCAGAGGCTTGGTGTTACCCTTGTGTTTTGTTTATCTAAAAATGGTTCATATAGTCAGTTAGTTGAGTTTCTTCCCGTTAAGTGGGTATGACACATTAATAGGTTGTTAAATGTTAAGAAGCCCTGAGACACAGTTTCGTGAAAGGAAATCTTAACAGGTTAAAACAACATTTCAAGATCAGTGGGCATATTTGAGATGCCATTTCACAAAAAAAAAAAATCAAATTTTAGGGCTATTTTATTTTAACATCTCTCTCATAAAGACTGCTGATATGCATTCCTATACATGTAATTGGCAAGTCCAGTTCGGTCCCGGCTAATCTGTCTAACCCGGCACACTAACATGGGGACAGCTGCTGTTTGCGGGGGACACCAGACGGACAGATGTCGTCCTTATGGGAGCTTCATTCACACGTCACTCAGACCTGGTTGGTTCACTCAGGGTCAGCCCGAGAGAGGGAAGCAACGGTGGGAACATGTGCTGCCTGCAGTCATGCACACGGAGACAGATGGCTACTGTTTGCGTGAGGAGGCGGCAGGAAAACAGTGGCCAATTGTGCACAAACAAGTTGTTTAGCAGGACTCACGTGAGACTTTTAGGAAGAACCTGAGTGTTTGTTTCTGATTGTTCACGTACTGTATGCCTTTTTATCCTAGGTGTCGAAGGGGCAGAGTTAAGTTCGAGAAAAGGTAACAGAGTGCTAAAAAGACTTGAGGAGAGAATGACTTGTGTTTATTTTTGCGCTGTGGTCTTTAATCCGTCTTGAATCCAGGTGCTCTCTGTTCTCTTGGCTGCATTTCAAACATACACAAAACATATACACACACAGACAGAGAAAGCATTCAGCACTATGTCTCCTTAATTCAAGGCCAGCAGAAAATACGTTTTATCAGTCCACACACAGATGGGTAGGAGGTCGTCCTTTCTCAGACAAAGATGTAACTCCCTGCTGGCTCATCAGTGAAACTATACATATGCTTACTGAGCCAATTAGGTTGTTTCCAAGTTATGATCCATTTTAATTTAGAATTCTCCAGCCCGTATTTACGCTCCAAACATTCTAATCTGTTGGTGTTTTCTTTAACCCCAAAGAACCACAAATCACAGCTCATCAAAATCCATATATTCACAAGTCCTTTGGCAGGTTCTGTCGGCTTTGCAGCCAGAATACGAGCCCTCTGCAGAGCAAGCATTTAACTAATTAGATAATGCTTCAGTAATAATGATGAGCTGAATTTATTTGACCGTGTTGGTTTTTGAGAGCCCCCCTGAGGACTGCTGGGTCAGGGAGTCGCCCCTCCATTCACAGCTACTGATGACGGTGTTGTGACATTTTAAGTGCTCCCTAATTTGTGTGTGTGTGTGTGGGCAAGGAGGATCATGGTAGCCAGCTCTGATGGTTTATGTGCGTCAAATAACGAGACAAGCTCTAGAAAACCAGCGACTGTGATAAACCCTTGGCGGAGTTGTGTCGTTGTAAAACATTTATCTGGCATCCTTTACACATACTAACTTTACACATCCAAATGCATATGTTCATTATGTCTCTACAATTTTCTCAGTTTTCAAATGTGAAGGTGTATGGAAGCCTGTGATTGGTGTATGGAAGCCTGTGATTGGCGTATGGAAGCCTGTGATTGGAGGATAAACTCCACAAGCCACTGCATCTATAAAACTATAAATAGATAAATGTTGTAAAGATGTGGAAGATGGACTTGGAAATAGAATAAAATAGCACTCTCCTCTCCTGCAAGGCCTGCTGTCACTTGTGGGAAAAAGGAAAATGTTTTTTATCAATATGTTTTTCTTTGACGAATAATCTTCTGCTCAAAGGATTCAAATCTTTCTGATAAATAAATTCAAGGGAGCAAAAAAATCTCGACTGGAAAAAGCTTAATCACGTGTTGGCTGCACATCCCACATGAAGAACCACACACAGCTCATGATCTTATATACACACTGTTTCACACACACACACACACACACACACACACACACACACACACACACACACACACACACACACACACACACACACACACACACACACACACACACACACACACAGAGAGAGAGCTCTTCTCTTGTGCCAGTCGAGCCAACAGAAAGTGGCGGTCCACGCTGAGCGCTCGCAACGTCAGCGCTGCTTCTGTTGCCGGGCGGAAAACGTGGAGGCGGAACGGTGAATTAAGTCTGCCCTCCTGACAATGTCACACTCACTACTCAGGTCTGACTGCAGCACTTCAGACTGTACTGTCAAATTGGCCTAAAAGCCTTTATGGGCTGCTGAGAGAGAAGAGTGTGTATGGAGACGCAAGGAAATTGCTGTTCACTTTACTTCCCGCCAAAGCAAATGGATAGAAGCAGAGAGAGAAGGAGTCTTTCTGTAGTTTCGGTCTGTAAATCCTTGACTTTCACAACTGATTAAGGCACTAATTTGCTTCTTTCAAGTTGTCAAATGGGTTGTGTATTAATGTTCTGCTCGTTCAGTTGTTTTTGGGGAGTCTTTGGCTCCTCCCAAGATGTGGCAGTGTGGGCAGACTGGGCTCAAAGCCCCCTAAGGAGTACAGGGTGTGTGTTTTAATGTGTATTTGCATGTGTGCTAGTGCTGTCTGGCGTGCGTGCACTGGTTAGTTTGTCTGCATTAAACAAACTTGATTGATAAGATCCCCAAAGCTGCTTACCTGGGATCACAACATGGTCTTAAGTAACAGCTGTTGGGTGTTTTTTTTACTAGTGCGGCGTAACCTTTACAGGTAAGCTTAATCTTCAGAACATCATGGGACAACTAGAGAATGCAATTCCTGAAGAAATTGCTTGTGGGAATGCTTTATGCTGAAAAGCTGACGCTGAATTGCTATGCTGAAATGTAATGTGTAAGAAGAAAGTGAAGAATTTAGATTGAAATGATACATGAACACTGGGGGCTTGAATGTGTGATGAGANGGTATAGCCGACATCGTTTTTTTTTTATTTTTGGCCGGAGGGATGCCGTTTCCATGGCAAATTACATATGGCTGCAAGATCTCAGATTTGGCCGTAGAGCCTGCTTGCATGGCAATGCGACCGGTGCATTATACAAGTTGAAGATTGAGGGGACGATTGGACCGCCTTGATCCATTGGATCTACAGCGACATCGTGTTTCATGGCGAGTGTTCTGTCGCCATGCGCAAACGGCATTGGAGTGACACCCCAGAATACTTCTTTAGATGCCGCTTGGATGCTGCTCAATTCCAAAACCTGCTGAAGTTTTTTGGGCCGTTTTGAGCATTTTCACTGAAGTTTATGGAGAAACCGTTGTTTCATGGCGGGCATTGTGGTTGCCATGGCAACGGATGTCCCGTAGATGTCTTCACAGCTGGACTGTTAGCACACATGTGAAGTTTGAGAACTTTTCGAAACATTTTCCTAGGGGAGTTTTTATAGCGACATCGTCGTTTATGGCGAGGGATGCGTTTCCATGGAAACGGCATGGTGAGATCTCATATTTGGCGTAGAGCTGTTGAGGCATGGACCGGTGATATACAAGTTAAGATTGGGGGACGATTGGACCGTGTCCATTGGACTTACAGCAACATCGTGTTTCATGGTGAGTGATCTGTCGCCATGGCAACGGCATTTGATGACACCCCATAATACGCTTAGATGTGTGGATGGCTGCATCGTTACGAAGTTTTGGGCCGTTTGGAGCATTTTCACTGAAGTTATGAGAAAACCGTGTTTCATGGCGAGCCTTGTGTTACCATGGCAACGGCATTTGAAGAAATCTCAAAACTCTCACGTAGATGTCGTCACAGCTGGACTGTTAGCACACATGTGAAGTTTGAGCACTTTTTGAACATTTTCATAGGAGTTAATGTAAAGCGACATCTTCTTTTATGGCGAGGGATGCGTTTCCATGGAAACGGTATATGATGACACCCCATAATTGACGTAGAGCTGTTGAGGGCAGGACCATTAACCATTATCTGAAGTCTGCTGCTCTGAGCATGTCAGTTGGAGTTATGACATCATCGTGTTCCATTACACAGGTGTTTATATTTGAGCTAACGACGTGTCCAGAGATCAAAGGTTTCCATTGTTCTGAATGAGAGATAAACCTCTTACATGTGAACGTTTTGTTGAAGAACCGTAACAGATATCGGTGAAATTTCAAAGCGTGTAGCATGTCAAGGGCCTTGAGTATCTGAAGTGTGCTTTTTGTGTACTTTCGGGTCAATAATGTGGCCTTTTTGGCAGATTAACTAAAGGTGTGCGGCTGCTGCTGTGAGGAAATATCAGCCTGAAATTACAATGGGCTTTGATGGAGACATGTTGAAAGTTGTTTTCACTTCATGCCACTTCATTAATTATTTTTTGCTTAATTATTTGTAATTTTTGAAGCTATGAGATGTTTTCCTACGTTTGTCATGAAAGATTATGTCTCAGGAATGTAGGGTTTGGGAATTATGGCAGTTTAAAAAAAAAATATGATGGCAAATTTCAAGATTTCCTACACTCTAGCTGTGACATTACGCACTCTAGTTAATGTTAAAATCTGAAGAAGGCCTCTGTACCAAGGTCTGAACAATGTTTAATATCTCTAAAAGTAAGAATCAGATTTAAAAGTTGTATTACACGAATAATGTCAGAAAGATGTGTAACATTTTAAAGTTGGAATGAGGTTTCTGAGTAAAAGTATGAATGAACAGTTAACAGTTAGCAGTTGAAGTCGCATGAAGATTTGTTGAAGTCTGAAGAATTTCTTCGTTGACTTCAATGGTTAAAAATGTGATGAATTATGGGATATATCTCTGGAATTATGAAAGTTATGAACATACTTGCCAACCCTCCCGATTTTCGCGGGAGACTCCCGATTTCATTGCCCTCTCCCGGTTTCCTCCCGGGGTCATATTTCTCCCGATTTCTGACAAAATCAGATTTACTCAGCACTGTTTCCACTCGGACTTTAATACAGCTACACCATTGTTTGGTTTCCACGGTAACGCGTCTCTTTAGTAGCGCGCAACTGAAAGTCTGCTCCCGATTTCTGAGGTCTCAAGGTTGGCAAGTATGGTTATGAACGATAAAAGTAATAGCAATTGATTCCCGACCGAGCTGAACATTTTGATGTTAGAACAGAGTTTCTGCGATGTTAAATGCGGGAACATCGCAGAAACTTGTGTTAAACTTAAATTAAGCCACAAGGTGTTTTCTCATTGATTTGTAACAATACAGCGGATCTGACTGAAACTGATATTAAATGTGCTGAAACACAGTTCATTATCACGTTCTGCCATCTACTTGGTATACATGTGAACAAATCCTACTGTAGAAAGTCATAGATCTATAGTAAGCCCATGTATCCATGTGTACCTACATACCTATAGGTCTGCTAAACTAGAAAATAATGAAATGAGCAAGAGTGGAGTTCTGCATTTTCACATCTTCTCCTCAGTTGACCACAAAGCAGTTGGGATTTGAGTGCCTCGCTTGAGATCCTTCAGAAACTATAACAACCACATACTCCACATAAAATATGTAACTGTAATGTTTGTTTAAATAACACTAGAGTAGACAGATGTTCAGCGGGGAAAATCCAACATTTGATGCTTCCCTTTTTTTGAAACGCCCTTTTTAGAACCACCTAAAGTCAATACAGTTTGATGACACTTTATTTCTTTAAAGTTCCCAAAGATAATTAAAAAAAACCTGCAATCCGCTTACATGTATGGAATCTATATTTACTGTAGGAATAGACTGCTCGATCTGCAGAAACGCAAACATTACAAAATCTCATAATGCTGCAGGCTTCTAAGAACCAGTGCACAGGGTCTGGTGTCACCATGCGTCGATCTTTTAGACTTTAGAGTGATCGCTCGGAAAACACAGCTTTAAATATGATGCTCTGTAAATATACTTTATGACATCAGTAGCCTCCTCTCCAGCACACAGTCACCCTGGCAGAGATCCGGTTCAGAGGCTACTCTGGGTGCTGCTGGTGCTCCCTGCTGATCTGCAGCCAGTCCACACAGCAAATGACACATCTGGAAACCTTTTGGAACCTTTTTTATGTAATATTCTTTTTTATCTGGTTAGCATCATGCTTTACCACTAAGTTGTCATGGAAACTCAAAGAGTGTGATTACAAAATATGTAAAGATTTTTTCTGCAGCAGCCCATTATACATAGCTTGACTAAAAGATGGATTTTTGGTGTTCATAAAACTATAACCTTTACTAATAAACTATAGATAAGTATGTTTTTTTTAGTTGCGCTCCTCAGATAGTTACAGCTTTTTGTCTTCATGGACACAGTGTTGTTGCCAAAGTATAAACATCACAGCAAATGTAGTTTCAAAACTCAGTTTGAGTCCCTTGTGAGCGGAGGTCTTTTCTAGGGCCAGATCCTGCTGGCTGCAGCACAGAGCCCGGCTGTAGATGCTCTGCTGATCGCCACGTGCACGGCCAGCTGACCTTGGCTTTCTATCGATCAGGATCAGATTTCAAACAAGCTGCATGAGATATGTATTGGTTTTAGCTGCATGCTGAGACAGATATTGACGCTCTGAATATTGTGGTAGTGTGCTATTTCTGTTTGGAGCTATAGACAAGTACATGCAATATCCCCAAATCTATATGCAAACAGTGGATCAAGTGAAATAGGTAACAGTCAGTATGGTCTTCCTTGGTTTGCATTTACATTATCAGTTGTTTCATCCTGAATCATCTCAATAAGGCATTTCATGGTTACAGTGAATCATTTGTGTGAAGGAAATATTTGACCCAGTTCATCATTCTTTACTTTTTCTGTCTCCCTGGCCCAGGCATGCGGCCTTGGGGTATTCCTGTTATCTCTCTGAGAGACGCAGCTCTGTCTCTTTGTTATTGCAGGCGAAGACTCAAGCACAAGATAGTTTATTGGCTAGGGACATCTGGTAGTCCACTTTATAAGGTACCTATGTCCCTTTGGCATACATTCTTTACTCAGGGACAAGAGTTATCGTCCTTTGGCCTGTTTTATCTTGTCATGCTTAATGTTGATTTTGCCCATAGAACTAGTTAAAGTCTCCGACTGGAAGAGACTCTTCAGAATCGGTTAGGCAGGAGCTGTGTCTCTTTGTGGCTGGAGCAAATGTCTTCGTCAATCTGCATCAAATCAAATGAATCTTCAGTGTTTGCCATTTCAGTTCTCCTGTGTTCTCATTGTGTTTCGAGCCCTTGCTCCAGAAGTTTCCATTTTAAGTTGACCACGAGTATATTGACACCTTCAGAGTGTCATTAACTCCTGATACAGGTGTCCGTCATCCTTTAAATCTGGAGTGAGCAATGTTTAGAAACCTGCTCAAATAAAAAGTAAAGTTTTTATGTGTGCCCTAAGCGGCAAATGAACAATACATATTTTTATCAATCTTTATAACATATATCTTAATCCAACACTGATTGAACCAAATTAGTAAAACACATTCTGCCAGTTTTCTTTAACTTCTTAAACAGTTTTTGTTATGTATCCTTGTATCTGTATACAGAGGGATCTGCTACCTTCTCACCAGGCATGTTCCAAAAAAGTAAATTGATCACATAGATTATTTACCAAGTCAAGAGAGTTTAAAGTATTCAGATGCTATAAAGAAATCAGTTTTATGTGATGTAGTTTAAGCTTGCAGAGCCAGAAGGGGCACGAATGTGGACCCTGTTATCCAGACTCGATGGATGCCCATTTCAAAAGTGCTGTATTCTTCCTGTGACTGTGTGAAAATGAATGTTTGGACACGGAGCTATTTATAGAGAGAGCATGTGGGTAGGGAGATGCTGCCATGTGTGTGTCGGTTGGATAGAAGCATAACATCGGTGCGCCTGGGTAGCTTGCGTGCATTTGCCTCCATAATAACAACCACTGAGGATTAAAGCTGCAGACAGTGACTGACATATCTTTTCTTTTGGTGTGCCATCATCTAAACATCCAGCTAAATGTGCGCGTGAGGTCAATCCTAGTGCGTTTTAAAGCTGGTTTACTCACACAGCTCTCGTCGGGGAGAGATGAAAAGAGTTTGAGTTTATTCACGTGTTATTCAGAGGTTGATTTGATTTCCTCCTTTCTGACTCATCTGACAGACTCTGAGCTGGGTCGATTTGTGATGAGGGCGCCACCAAGAGGCAACACAAGGAATTGCAATTAAATAAAACAAATGATGCGTTTTTAAAGCTTCACACTCACCCAGCTCAACACATTTAATTTGTGGACCTTTCCACTAAATACTGCACGTCCTGACCACAGTCTCCTGGTGCAGCTGGGTCTTTGATGCCACATATTCCGATCAAGGCTACATTAACAGTCTATTAACTACCTGTCTCTTTGCTCTCTACTACAGCTTCAGTCCTGTTGGCATGGCTTCAACTAACAGTTTGAGGAGATATCGAATCCTGTCTCTAACGCATGACCTGTGATCGTCACTCACACTTCTAACTAACTGTGATCCACTTTCAGATTTGGTGATAGCAGTTGTCCAATAAGCTGTTAATGTCTTTGACTTCAGTAAGTGACGGTGGGATTTCTCTCTCTGTAGACGTGAACGACTGCGCCGCCCAGCCATGCAAGAACGGAGGCACCTGCAGGGACCTGGAGGGAGACTTCAAATGCCACTGCCCGTCCCCTTATGTGGGCAAACAATGCCAACTGCGTAAGTGTCACCGGTCAAAACTTCATGTGGCCAATTATTCTCATCTCAATCACTGTTGTCTCTTTTTTTCTGAACATATTGACAAAAAACTTACTTTAAATAGGTATAGATTGTGTCCTTATAGAACAACATTATACAAAGTAAAATACATGTATTAAAATAAGGGAACCTAAACAAAGAAAGGGATGTTGGCATCGATATTAAAAAAGTTATAATGCTCCTATTTTAACATGAAATGTTCACAAGTGTTGTTGAATTAGTTTAATGAAGACGTTATTAATGATGATAGGATTGGGAAAGTGGCCAACTGCTGCGTTTTAGTATGATCAATAGGCAGGATATAGAAAGTAAGCTAAATGAGAAATCAATACTTTATTCCATTCAGTTGACTTAAAGATCTGCAGCTTTAATGACTTCAAGGTTTGCACAGGGGAGTGAAGTATGAGATATGGCTGAGTGTGTATTAGACTTTGATTATGCACCATATGCTCATACATTTCTCTCTCTTATAGGAATCAGTTATTTGTATTCTGCAGAATGTAAAACAGTTGTCTCTGAATTTACATACAGTAGCAGAATTATTATTATTAATAATAACTGTATTCATTTAGCAGTTAAAATCTGATTTTAGGCAACATACTGAGAAGACAATAACAGCATAAAGCCAACAGTAAGGCCAAACAAAAAACAAGACAACATTAATGATGCATGCACATATAAATGAAGTGTGTGCTACTTCAGCCTGTGTCAGGTGACTGAATTTGCATTAGGGTCAGAGTGTGAAATGTTGCACTCACGTCAGAATCTGACCCCCCCCCCCCCTCACTTTTCCTCTACAGCACATGTGTCAAACTCAAGGCCCGGGGGCCGAATCAGGCCCGTGGTAGATTTAATTTCGGCCCGCAGGATCATTTGTAATTACTATTAGATCGTATATTGCACGCACACCTTCACTCAATCCTGAGGGTCTCCTCAGCTCAGAGCCTGAGCCCAAACATTGATGACCTTGCACCCGAGATGAGATGCCAAGTATCTGAACTAGCATCACAGAGCAGCACACTGAGTTTACATGGATGTTTCCTTCTGCACTTTTTCTCTCACGACAACAGGGCATGTTTGGTTTTTTCTTTGAGGGAAATAGTTTTTTTGAAGCTGTTTTTGGCCTGTGGGAAAATGTAATCATAAGAAATGACTCTTAGCTGCAGATAGAGCCATAAGAAATGAATGCAACTGATTATTTAATGTTTAATGTTGTTTTTATAGGCAACAATTAAAGCTTTGTTAGTTCCAGGTTTAATATGTGCAATAAGTTCATTTCAATACGTTTTGCAATAAACATTGAACCAGTCCGGCCCTCGACTAGTACACATTTTTTAATTTTGGCCCACTGTGACACCCCTGCTCTACAGGCTGCATCTCTCTGCTGGGCATGGAGGGGGGTGGCATCGCTGAGTCCCAGATCTCCGCCTCCTCAGTGCGGTACAGCATGCTGGGTCTGCAGCGCTGGGGGTCCGAGCTCGCCCGCCTGCACAACAAGGGGATCGTGAACGCCTGGAGCGCCGCCGCACACGACAAGAACCCATGGATTCAGGTGAGACCAGGACACATGGACATACATAGTTTATACAGGGACTTTCTTTTATCTATTCAAGTCCATACACACTTGTTTCTTGTAGNAGTGCTGATTCTCTGTCTGTTACTTTAGATGAAAATAAGGAGCCCCTCCCCACGCCCCTCTGAGAGATATTTGGTTAAAAAGAACACAATGGTGCTCTAGGAGGAGATTCAGGTGATAAGGTGTGGGGGGGGGTTACCTTGGTTGCTGATTGGCTAATGGTTACACAAGCCAAAAAATCGTTATGACATCATAAAGTGGCCAAAATCTGCTCATTTTCAGACAGGTTTTTATATAAATAGGTCAGGAAAAAAAGTGAGCAAACCTTTTTTCCTGAAACTTTCAGAGTCTCTTTACACAGAGGGGACACATGTTGATGTAGAAGAGACATGAACAAGTGAACTTTGCATAAAAGGTCACCTTTAAGATCAACTTGTCAAAATTGATTGTCCCTTTGTTGTATTCATATTGTATTTTGTTGTAACTTCATGTGCTTAAATAAAAAACCGTAAGCAGCATGAAGACAATAATGTGCTACATTGTTTTTGGGTATCAGTATAACAATATAACTTCCACTAAATAAGCAATGATTACATTTGATCTAGTTCGGTCTTTCGGCTTCTTTGAGTGAATATAAACCACACATTTGCTAGATTGAATTAAACATTAGTTTTTTCCAAATGCACTTTTTTTTATACTTTTATTCTTTTTCAACCAAAACTAAATTCTGCAAAAGTCCAACGTTGCAATAACTATATAAAAAAAAAATTCAGCAGTCATTTATAAAAGGACATCATTCAGTCGCATCGTCACTGAAAACTGATGAAGTCAAAGGCAACACATAGTGAAAGAGCTTCTCGATACAGTGACACAAAAATAAAGTTGTAGCTGTATTTACAGGCTCGCCCTTCTCTCCCATCGCTCCAGGTCCTCCGATGGCTCCGCCCCGGCCCGGCTGTCCGATGGCCCCGGCGGCACCTGAAGGGCCCCGCTCACCTGAGGCCCCCTGTAGACAGAACACATTGTAATGGCTTTATTTTGTGTCTTTTTAGGCTTATTATTAGTTCAGACATATGAAACATTGCCCTGCAGCCTACGTAATATCTACAGAAGATATGGCACGGGATAATATTCATGAAATCCAAGAGGAAAATAGAGTCCATAGGTCTTTCCACTATCATGAATAATTATGCTCAAATGTCCGTTACTGGACTATTTTCTCAACCATTTTTGGATTTAAACATAGCCCCATTCAGTTATGTAATACAGAGATGAAAGTTCATTGAATAAGATATCTTTCTATTACACATAACAGGAAAGAAAAGTAGTTTTAGTTAAGGCTATTTCTACAGTCGTTAAAGGCTTATAATGATGGATGAATAAAAACACCTGGAGTCATTATTGTGTTAGACACTGTTTTCAATTATAAAACAACATTTTGATTACTTACAATAATTTGTTTAGTGGAAAACACTGAAGAAATTTGCATATTTCTTTACAAACAAAAAGCAGATTTTTATCTGAAGGCCTCTTAAACTGAATCAACAAAAATAAAAGTACTGTTACTCACTATTCCTCCTGATATTCCAGTAGGTCCGGACCCTCCTTTCAGACCAGGAGGTCCCTGGAAGGATCACACATCATTGTATCATATAAAATATAAAACATAAAGTGACTTGTATGGTGTATTTGTTTCTGTGTGGCTTACTATGAGTCCGGTGGGTCCTCTGCTCCCCCTGAACCCTTTCATTCCTGCAGGACCGCTCTTCCCAGAAGACCCAGGCAAACCCGGATCGCCCTGACACACAAACAAATCGTAAACAAAAACAATGACTCTATGAGGCCTACTTGAAAACTGGTGGTGTTGAAGTATTGAGGCAGTGACTTCTTTAGTAGTTTCTGACACCTCTACTGCAATATAGTGAAAGAGTAACTGTACATGTAAAAAGTCCTGTTAGAAAGGCCACTACCAGCACTGCTGTGGGAAAATGCGCAGTCTGCTCTGCATGAAAAAACAGGCCCATTTTGGGACGCCTCACAAAGGAGACACATGTGAGCACACGTGTGTTATACCTGTCTAGATATCAACACTGTAAAAACGTATTTACTGAAAATCATCATCCTCGAAAGAGTTTTACAAAAGCTCAGTTTTCTTTAACCATTTTCGCTGTTTAGAAAAGAACAAAATGACATGGAAAATCTTTATATTTTAAACAAATATATACAATATGTTACATGTGACATATGTAACTAGGGCTAAGTTAATAATGCACAATGTTTATTTGTGTGTGTGTGTGTGTGTGTGTGTGTGTGTGTGTGTGTGTGTGTGTGTGTGTGTGTGTGTGTGTGTGTTTGTAGACCCACCTTTCCACCTTCCTTCCCAGCAGCCCCAGGTAGACCGTGCTCTCCGGGAACCCCTGGGGCCCCCGGGTGACCTCGGTCCCCGATTAGACCAGTTTCACCTGATTTGCCCTGAAACAGAAACACGTGATTGGGTTCGTAACATCAACACAAGGCAGGAGGAACATTAATAACACAACTGAGTCACAGTGTTGATCTCACCTGTGGCCCCACTACACCTGAGGGTCCCGGAGGCCCCGTCTTCCCATGGAAACCCTGCAGTCACAGAAAAAAGATGGGAAGAAATTATATTCTGACATTATAATTTCTTGTAACAGTAACATTCTGTAACATTATAGAGAATAGGTGACTATATTTGGGACAAAACAAACTTTGAATTTGGACAAACTTTGGGCTTCTTCATTCACAACCACAAAGATAAAACAAAAAACCTGTTATCTGAGTATAGCTGCTAGAAAAGTAAAACAATTATTGCTTGGACAACTCAACTACAGAGAAATCTAATGATATAATTTATTAAAAAGAATCCCCTTCTTCATGTGACTTCAGCAACTATATTTAAGGAGATTTGGGAGAGGTGGAAAACATATTTATGTGAAACAATTTAATTGATTGTATTTCTTTTACTAGTATGCCAAATATATTTTCTTGTCATAGTTTCATTTTAAAAATCTGAGCTGATAAACTGTTCTGTTATGTGTTATGTATATCCAACTAAAGTTTACTCTGTGAACCCAGAGGAAAGGAAAACACCTAAAAAGAAAACATACATTGGTGTGTGTTTATGTGGGCGTGTGGTGAAAACTATTCCTCCAAGACAAAGTGTATCAACCGTTAAACTTTTTAAACTCAGTGAAATATTGACATCACTCACCGGCTCTCCTCTTTGACCTGGATGACCTGGAAGTCCGTCTTTCCCTGAAGGACCCTACACACACACACACACACACACACACACACACACACACACACACACACACACACACACACACATACACACGACAAGAACAAGGTGATCAATTATTTGGAGCTCAGGATAAAAGCGGGCTTCCTTGAGCTGCCAAATATTCCAATCTGACTGCTGAAAGTGTCCCCTGCAGGCCACTGTAGTTGATTCATGACAGCACACTTAGCGGCTTCTCAGTCAGAACTCCTTTGTCAGAAAATGACAAAGTACACTCCCTGAAGCTGTATGAAAAACTGGCTGCATGCAGCATGCACCTCAACAAAATACCAGCTGCCATTCCTGCCATGATGTAAAAAAAGAAACTCGTAAAAAATCTGATTCTAGCTTCGAGGTCACTCGCTGTTTGCCAAGGTTTGAGACCTTTTGTATTTTTGGAAGATTGTGTTTTCTCTTTCAAGGCTTGTAGGTGAATTGTTCTTGTTTTTCTTTCTGTGTCCAACATTAAAATGGCAGAATGTACTGGCTTTAGTTTTTAGTTTGAGCCCTATCTTAAAGGGACAGTTCCTTTTATCGTTAGTGTTATAAGAAATCTTTCTTAAATTACTATTTGTTTTGGCTTAAAGCAGTGGTATATGTGGGAAAAAGGAAGCATCTCTTCAGCCAATAGTTGCAGCTGAAACTAAAATAATCTAGATTGATAAATAGGAGGAACATTTGTTTTTTGATCTCGGCATATACGGTCCCTTTAACTAAAAACAAAATGAAATGATTTATAAAGAAAACGAGAAATTTATCTGGGAAAAAAACATTTTTAACAATGGGACAGAGGACTACCTACTGTATTTACCTGTATTTATTATCCTTACTGTAACTGTACAACATGTCAGTTAATTCGCCAGTATGCTAAGTGTATAGTTACTAAGTGCCCTAAAAATAAAACATTGGGTGGAGAGGACACACACACATTTGAAGAAATGCAATACAAATTCTGATCAATGACCACATCTCAAATTAGTTTGATCTGTCACCACTCACGCTTGTGCCTTTCGGTCCTGTCTCTCCATTCCTTCCTTGCGGCCCTTGAGGTCCCTATAAAACATAACCAGGCATTACAACAGGCAATCAATCAACTGATCACTCAATGAATCACACATATATTAACAGCGTTTCTCTTACCCTTTCTCCACCAGATCCTGGGGGTCCATCATTTCCGGAGATGCCCTATAAAAATGTGACGGATAAGAAGTGGTGAAGCACAGCTGAGAGTGTGAGTGTTTGCATCCATAAACGATAACAGACAGGGTGTTATAATTGGCTGAGAGGAGAGTCAGCTGACCTTTTCTCCTGATTTCCCTGTTGGCCCCTTCGCCCCTCGGCCACCTCGCGCACCCTGAAGGAGAATAAAACATGAGAGACCAAACCCAAGAGAGGACTGCACGTTGACTGACCTGAGACAGAATATACGGTTCAATCAGATCTCCGGGTAGTGACTCACATAGACTTCCAGGTGAATTTAGTAATCGATTCAGTAAAAACAGTGATGACTCAGACATCTGCAACATTGTGACATGAGGGTAACAATGTTGAAGGGTAACATCTACAATACATTTGAGGAATATTGAAATATATTTCGGAAAGTATAAAATCTCTAATCGGTTGACCAATCACAACAGAGCCGGCCAGCTAACCAATCAGAGCAGACTGGGCTGATTTTCTTTGTCTATTCAATAAAAGATCAGAGATATTATGAACATCTGATGCCCTTGTCTTAGCCCCTGTTTGTGCCGAGTGTTTGAGCACCATGTAACATTTTTCGGTCACTTCAGGGAAACCGCTAATGGCCTGTTCTTCCAGGAATCACATACTGTTCTGTTCCTTTGTGTTTCCCTCTTCAGAATGTTCCCTCGATATAATCTGTAACAACCTTGAGCCTAGCACTCATTTCACAGCAGGCTTGTTCTGAGGTGATTTTGAGTCCCTTTGCAAAGATGGATTATTTTCAAGACAACTTTTATGGCCAACTTAATGTGGGGCAGCATAGACAGAGTGTTAACAGAACACTCACATAGAGCAAAGTTATTCGCAAACATTTGCATAGTTATACATCTAACTGAAGATCAATTCAAAGAAAATATATTCACGATTCTCGGAGGCGATTTTTGTCATTTTGTTTAGCTAATTTAACTGCCTCCATAGATTGAGTGAGACATGCCACTTGCTCAACAGAAAAAGACAACAGGGAGGGGAGTGTGTAGAGTCGGCATATTTTCACATCAAATTCAGTGAATTAGGGGTTTATTTTAATCAAACAAGAGTTGGTCAATGTCGGAACAGTGGGAAGACTAAACGAGACTTATTTTGTTTAGTGAGTCTAAATTGAGTTGAAAAATCTGACTTGCTGTTGCACAAGGCAATGGGGGCTAATAGAGTGATTAAGAAGTGTAGAGATGTTAATCCATATCCTCCAATCCAATCATACCAATTTTAAATGTCTGTCTACTGATTGAAATTCATCATTGCTTCAAGGTGCAACACCACGTAAGTCTTTAGTACACAGTCAAAGCCTCATAGTGGCAGAAGTTGAATGCTAAATACATGTTTTAACAAGGTGTTTATATTTGAAGAGTCAGGACAGTGTAAGTGCAATGTAGCTCACAATATGGGCAGGAAGAAGGTTTCAGCTTTTTCAGAAATATTAATGAAAGTGACCCTCTACAAGAAAACCCTGGAGGAAAAGCGATATTGAAAGAGGTCAGCTAGGAAAAGGTGTCACCTCACTTTTTTCAATGCATCCGGCTCACCTGGTTTTAAAATAACATTATTAACATTTTCTAATTTGCTCTGACTGGGAGCCGTAGGGTCGCCGGTTCAAGTCCCCAACCAGACCTAAATATGGAGTGTGGACTGCTACTTGGAGAGGTCCCAGTTCACCTCCTGCCCTGCCGTGGTGCCCTTGAGCAAGGCACCGGACATCCCCCTTCCCCCCTCACTCCCATTGCTCCCCGGGCGCTGTACACTAGCTGCCTACTACTCCTACTACTAGACTCCTGGTACTAGGATGGGTTAAATCAGTGGTTCTCAAACTTTTTCTGTCAGGCCCCCCCTTTGGAGAAAAAAAAAAAGTCAGGCCCCCCCAACACAAATAGTCAGGCTCAGTGACCAGAGATTTATTTTGGGGGTGCTGTGGGGTAGCTTGACGTTTCATAGAGGGTGCTCACACATTTAGGGTTTCCCATTAATGTACCGGTCGCTACAGTGGAATTTTCTACTGC